CGTGCCACCATGCCAGGTAGAATAGTGTGTTCCTGACATGTCGGAGAGCTGCACATCTGGAAGTGAGCCAGGACACACCTTGGGGAGGGGACAGTAGCTCAGAGCCCTTCCTAGATCGCCCACAGCCCCTCCTCACCCATAGTAAGTCCAGAGCAGGGAGGTGGGGGGATCTGGCAGCCCCTCCAGGGTGAGGCAGAACAGCCCAGAAACCATTCCGGGGTGGGGGCATCGAGCACAGCCGGAGGGGCCACGTTTCACGAGCAGCGGGCCCCTGCAGTCTGTGCAAGCGGAGGAGCCATTCTCAGGGATTCTGAGCAGATTGAAATAGCCCAAATTGCAGAAAGTATAGAAAAAGCTCAAGGCACAGTTTCAGATTTTAAAAAGCATGCTCCGGGAACTTCGGTGTGACAGGTCCTAGTTACGCGTGCTTTCTGCCTCCTCTTGATTTGGTTATCACGCTGGTTTTCCACCTCATCTTCAGGCCCTGTTTTCTCCTACTGAGGGTCCCCCAGAGATTTCTGAGTTTGGGGTTCAGACTGTAGAGCGGACATGGCTACTGTTAGAAGCTGAAACAGCGAGAGTCTGACTACTCTGTAAGAATAAGGAACTGTGAAAATGTGAGACCCTTGGAACTCTAGTTCGTAAAACCTGGCTTTTGGGGAATTAGAACTGCCCTGAGGTTATTTCAGAAAAGAGAGTAATTTGTGTGTTCGTGCTTCATTTATTGATTTCATCAGATTATCGAAGGGTCCTGGGATCCAAAAATGTTTAAGAATCATGTCTGGGGGCCAGCCCAGTTGCATAGTATTTAAGTTCTCACGCTCCGCTTCAGCAGCCCAGGCTTCATGGGTTCGGATCCCGGGCACGGACCTACACACTGCTCATCAAGCCATGCTTGGTGGCATCCCACATACAAAATAGAGGAAGATTGGCACAGATGTTAGCTCAGAGCCAATCTTCCTCACAAAAATAAAAAGTCCTGTCCTTCCCAGTTTCTGGGCGAGTTCCCCAGTAGCTAGAATAATACACAGGTGGTGGACGACCAGGAATGCTAAGAGGGGCTGGAGACAGAGCAAGGAGAGCCACAGCACGTCCGTGTCCCGGGCACAGAGATGGGAGGCCCGGCACGGAGTTCCTCGGTCTTGACCCCCCTGTAGTCCCATCTCAGCAGGGTTCATTCCAAGTGTACCCTCACACCGGCTCTCCTGATTTACGTCATAGCCAGTCTGCATGCGCTGGACAGGCTGGCTTTGCCGGAGCAATTTGCCTGAACAATGCTGTGTTATAAACAGCCATCTCCGAGAGATCAAGGTTAGAAGACTTGTCTGAACTTGAGTGGAAATCGAGTCCTGACCTAAGGACACATCTGAGCAGGGTAGGGCACAGGGAGGGGCTCCTGCCCAGAAATATTCAGGCCCCACCTGTGGCCGGTGACAGAAAGCCTTTCCCCTGCCCACCCGGCACCTCGGCATCGGCTAGCGAGTATGAAGCTCTGTGGTCTCCTACTGAATTAGTGTCCTTCCCTGTGTCTTCTCAGGAAATGACAGTCACCACACTGACCCAGGAAGGAACCTAGAGTCGCCTCGGCGTCTCCTCTCCCCAATCCAGCACGTCCGAGTCATGGCCTTCCACTACGTCTCCATCCTGTGCAGCCTACAGGGGTTATTGGGGGGCTGGTGGGTGTGGGGAGAGGAGCCTAGGACAGACCAGCAAGAGCCTGGGTGTAGTGGTGTGGGGTGCACAGGGTACTCCAAGGGTCCCACCCTCCCACCTCTGACTCTGGGCACCTGGTGTCCTCCCCTCTGAACACGTGCTCGCTCTTCTCACCTACACAGCTGGTCTCCTCCCCTGATACTCCATGGCTGGGAGGTCAGCATCTGAAACCTCTCGTGGTACAGGGACAGCACACGACTGGGGATCTGAAGACCCAAGTCATTGCAGTGCGTGGCCGGCTTCTGACCTAGACGTTGCCCTTGAGCCTGACACTTCACCCCTCAGGGCTTGCGTTTCCTCCACTGTAACATGAGGTCATGGATATTTGTCTGCTAAGGTCACTCACCGTGATTCCACCCACGGTGAGGGCTGTCCTGATTCAGTCATGTTCAGCTGAATTAATCATTACAGCACCAGATGAGACCATTGCTTTTGCGATTCCACAAAGGCCATCATCAGAGTGCACTGGCGTAGCGATTTCCCCTTCGTTGGCAAATCATTAGCAAATCATTTTTCAGAAACCATTTTATATGGGAAATGGATTGTTCTGGAACCTCTCCCTCTTAGAAAGCAGCTGAGGGTTTTCTCTCTCCTCCCTTTCCCGAGGATTGCCTTTTAACTTCAACATTAAAAGGCACACATGCTCTTATCTTCTGCTCTATTGAGGTATCGAGGGTTGTATTTGGGTCCGTGAAGCAGAACTCAGACTCCAGAGGAGCACGAAGAGGACAACTGCTCTGCTAAAGGCTGAGGCAGATGCAGCTGCAGGGGCCACACTGATCTCAAGTTGGCCTGAGAAATGCCCATTGCCTTCCCCCACCACCGTTTTGTTTTCTTTTGCCAGTGTACCCATGCGAGTATCGATATGCTAGAGCCAACTACTTAACGGCTGGATACAGAATGCTGTTGGGTGTACAAAGCCCTCTAAATCTGCTTTTATTCCTGGATTCCTTCTAGAAGAATAAGAACCTTAAAAAATGTCCTAGAAGAAGTTTGTTTTTTGAATAGAATTTTTCACCCCTCACATCACCATAATGCTTTGACTCCCAAGATGACTTCCAACATGCTGCAACGTATTTTGAATTGTTTCAGTTATAAAAAATTGTAAAACAGCTTCTGAGAGTCCATAAGCAAAACTTGCAGCCCAAAACCTCACTGCAAATTAACACACGAATGAAGAGGAAACTCAAGTACGGCCAGAGCCAGAGCCCTTGGATTATAAAGATATCCCAGCCAATCGTGAGATGAAAGTCAAGAAACTCTACACCTGAGAGATGGGGCCCTGGCGGGGCGGGTGGGGTGGGGAGGACACCAGGAGAGTGTTTTTTAGGAGATGGATGATTCTGGAGCATTTGCAGCAGGGTCTCAAAGCAGCCAGCTGAATAGGAGCAGGGACCCTGGGGAGAGCTGGCTGGCAGCTGTATGAACACCTGGTGTCCAGGGATGAGGCATAATTCAGGGAGCATCTGCGTGACACTATCATTGGCTACAGGAAGAGTCATTTCCATCAGAGACCAGTCAGGGGACTTGGGACTCAGAAAGAAGGGAATTTGCTCTCAAAGAAGGGAGCTGTGAGGAGGAGTGCTGAGGCCCTGGGGCTGCGTGGCCGCAAAGAATAGGCCCTAGAATTACTTTAGAAGTTTCTCATCTGTAAAATGAGGAGGTTGCATTCAATCAATGATTTAAAACTTGTCTGGCCCCTGGATCACCTAGGGAATGTTAGAAAACCCAGATTCCCAGGCTTCTCCTGAGACCCCCCCAATAGACTCTTTAGAACCTGGGGATATGTATCCTCAGAGCTCCCGGGCGATCCTATGCCTGGCTGAGTTTGAGAACTGTGAGCTGACAGCAGCTCAACTGACCCTTGGGGCCAGACGCTCTCGGCCCAGACTCCTCAGGGGTATTCTACCCAGAGCCTCAGAGCAGATCATGGCTGCATTGGGACAAACCTGGACCACACACATAGCAGGAATGGATTGGCCAAACTGTCCCCATGAGCAAAGGAGAATGGCTGCCTGTGTTTGCACCTCATGAGGCCAGAGAAGTCTAGTTTCCCCCCAAGTAGAGTTCAAGCCCCAGAAAGTCCAGCTGCCACTGGACATGATTGGTTCTTAAAATCAAGAAAGATCTAGAAACCTACCATCAAGGCTCAGAGCTCAGGTCAAGCCTGCCCCTAGGATTCACCAGGGTCTCAGGTTTTGACCCCAGTGTCCTGATGATGCGGCTTCCTCTTCCTTTGACATAAGCTGACACTGCCTTTGGTGTTCCCCAAGCTCCCTTAGACTCCTCTACCAGGAAACACGGGGAGAGGAGAGGCAAAGGGGTTTCCTCCTGGAGTCCCACCTCAAGTTATTACCGGTACCCTTCCTTCTGTCCTGCCCTTTGAGTCAGTGGACAGCTCCAGGCTAACTTTCATTCCAGCCAGCATGGACTAGGCAATTCAGCGCACTGGGTGGACAAGGTGGTGAGCCTGTGGTCTTCTTGGAATTCACAAACAAGGTGCAGGTGCAGGTCAGCTGGCCGGGTGTGCCTGCAGGCTAGCCTCCCAGAACATGGCCTGGCGCAGGTCCAGGCACCTCCTTGCCAAAGTGGACTGAGCCACACCCTCAGTTCTTGTCCCATCCTCCCCCCATGCCTGAGTGAATGAATGCTTGGACCGAGGCTGGTGAGGCCTAAGGGTGTGCTTTGTGACCCTAGAACAAGATCTGCTGAGCACCCCCTGGGGAACTGGATCTGCACCTTCAGTCGCATAGACGTCAGCCCTGGGTGGGACACACTGGTGTGTGCTGGGTTGTCAAAGTACACCTTTACACAAGGATCGGACCCCACAGAGGAGAATGGAGCCTGCCATCCCCATCTGGCTAGAACCGATGAACAAACTCAAGAGCCCAGTATCCCAGGAGTCTCTGACAGGAACTTTGTGGGGGAGGGGGCCATCAATAATTATTTAATTTTATTATTAAAGTGCACTGTCCCATCAATATACAGTCAACGGAACAAACTGGTTTAGTATGCTAGGTCCTTGCGTCCCTCCTGCTTTCTCGAGTAACCTCTCTTCTACGGGGACGCTCTTTATCTGCAGCACAGTTGGTGACCCATTAAAAGAAAGTTCCAGAAGATGTGACACAAAGTTGACCCACTTTAAGACAACATGTATTCAACAAACACAGAGTTGGTGTCAGCCAGATGCTAAGCACCGTGTGAGCCAGCTGTGTCACCTTACCTGCCCCCAGTCGCTGATTCTTAGGAGATCAGAAGAGGATAGCAAACATTTAATGCAAACAAAGTATATTTTGAGATTTAATGAACAAATAAACCCCACTTGTGTAATAAAACACTAAGTGCTATTCATATATTTGAAGAAAGAAAACAAAGTTATAGAAAAAGGACCCAAGGGGAAAAAAATTAACTTTTCGGGATAATGACCACCCGAATTCGCTTGGTCCTCTTCTGATTCTTGCTGCCATTGTCCATGTCTGTTAGATTTGCTCTCCATGGTTTCTGCATCAGGGCTCTTGAAACTGACACTGGTTTTACACTCTTGATAAAAGGAGGTTGTAAAGTTGCATTGCAGTAGCTCTCGGCTCAGGATTCGTCACTGGACACTTTTTAACTAAATTGGTGAAATCATCAGACCAAAGTTCTGGCTTCTGGATGTTGGTGGTGGATTTGTGACAATCATAAAAAGAACCCTGATTGGATATATTTCATGTAAGGAAGTTTCCCTTCAGCCAGGGCTGCAGAAGTGATGCTGAGCAACCAGATGTCGGCCACAGGGTTCTATCCTGCTTCTTGAATTACCGCAGGCCGCCCCTCAGGGATTCTGTGTACTTGAGAAACCCCTCAGGATTCTTTTGTCCGGGCCAGTTTAGGACACAGACATCACAATTGGTTGCGAGTCAGCTGTGCCGGAATTTCTTAAGAGTGGCCTCCAAAACACCACAGAGTTTCTGAGAAATTAAGAAACGGTGCACATCAAAATGCATCCAAAGCGCCAATAAGTTCAGGCAAAACACAGAGGCTCGTTTGATGCTGGTCTTCTCAGACCCAGAATATACCAACAATCTGGTGAATCTTTAAAGGAAGGAGAAGGTGAGAGCGCTTCTGAGCAGAGCTTCCTAAACCTGTGTGATCGTGGGACTCCACTTTTTTGGGGGAAACACTGCACTGAAAGTATTCCGTCGAAACCTGCTCACCAAAGTCAGTCAAATTTAAGTCCTTAATTTTCATGCAGTGATAGTGTGATTTGAGAGAGCTTGAAGGGCCCTGAATAGAAATGCCGCTTTCTCTGAACTATGCCTAAAATTCTATCATGTATCATCTTTGGTTGTGCCTCTGTCCCCTATTAAAAGGCAAACACCTCTAGGGCAAGTAATCAAACAACGAGTAGTAAATATGTTTAGAATTGTCCTTGGTGCTGCTGGTCACTGAGACGTGGTCCTTATCCTTGAGGGTATCAGGATGCAATTGTGTGAAGGGAAGCAAACATCGCATGAAGTGACCGCTAAGAGGTGGCCTGTGATTAGTCGTGTGTCCTCAGCTGAGGGTGCTGACACCTCCTAGGGGGAAGGGGGCCCTGGGAGGCCGCTGAGGAAGGCGCTATGTTCTCAGAGTGAGATCCTAGTTCCCCCGAGGCCCCAACACTCTTTCAGATGTCTTGAAGTCTTCCCTTTTCCAAATTATGTTTGCACCCAGTGACATCCCAGACCACTGAGGAAGGCTGGATTTCTTTTCATATACTTCAACTAAAACCAGCATGTTGAACAGATTAAACGCAGAAACAGATACAAGAATCTAGCATCTTCTATTAAGCCAGACGTTAAAGACACTTGCAAAAAAAGTATTAAATAAATACCACCCCGCCCTTTTATGTTTTAAAAAAATATACTGGTGAGAAATTACTTCAAAAAAATGAGGACCCCAAAGAGCTTTTGTTTATGTGAGGGATATGTATCGATAGCCACCATATTGAAAATTAAAACTGAGAAAATGGTAAAATATTAATTTATTTATAAATAACAATAATAAACTTATTACATGTTAACACAAATAACATTTTTTAAGAGTGCAAAGGGATCCTGAGCCCAAATACCTACCGCAGTGGTTCTCAGAGGTGCTGAGCGTGGTCCCGGTGGGGCACCCCAGAGCATAGCCTTCTTCCAGTCTGTATTCTGTGGGTTGTAAAATGGGCAGGCTGAATGAGCCATGGTCATTCTCGAATGCATCTCACCAAAGCAGGTGATGGAGAAATGGTCTTGAAGAATGACTTAGCAACTCTAATTGAGCTGAAGGGAAAGAGAATTAAATGATTGAAGGCAGAGGCGGGAGCATGTCACTGTCACACGGGCAAGGCCTCCGTGCAGGGCGTTCTTGCTTCCTGGCAAACCCCACAGCTGACCAGTGGGTTGCAGGGCAGTGTGTGTCTCCTTGGCTTAAATATTGATGGGATGTGATGCCCACCTTCAGGGGAAACACCATTTAATTAATAATGAGCCGCCCTTGGAACTTCCCTTTGTTGCCTGAGGCTCTGTTAAGTTTCTTAAATCATCGATCTCATGGAAAACCGGTGACTGGCCTTGACCTGGCCTGCACCCCTCCCCCCAAGAATGGCTTCCAGACTGCAGCTTGGGCTGACCATGACTTGGATGAAATGTGCAATGGCAGTGGCCGGGCCTGCCCAGTCAGACCTCCAGCTTGCCAAAGAGGAGTAGGCTGGCATTTCTCACCTCCTCACTGAGCCATAGTGGAGGGACCACCGGTTTAGAGTTGCAAGAAGTGACCTCTGCTCCCCTAAGTAAGGTGGCAGCTGGAGACAGCTGAGTGTGCTCAGGTTTCTGGCCAGCAGAGTCTTTCTCCCTAAGATCTCCTCTACTATTTATAGTAGCTACCATTTATCGAGTGCAGGCTAAGTAAGCTATTTAGGGTTCTAGGGCACTTTCCTTTTTACTTCTCAATCACTACAAAAAGCCCGGGGCAGCTCAGTTTTCAAATACCAAACCGAGGTTCTGAGCTGCTGCCGCCTCGTCTGAGGGGTGGACCCAGGGTCAACGCCAGGTGTGCTGGCCAGGAGCCCAGGCCCTTCCAGCTCCAGTTTGGGGGCAGAGGCTGTATCAGTCCAAGTGGGGAAGGGAAGGCATGCTGGGCTGGGATTCCCAAGGGGCTACTTCCAGAGTGTGGGTGGGGTTTCAGGAGCCAGAGGGTGGAGACATTAAGGCCTAAACCCAGGGACAAGCATGAGCAGGAGGCCATTACTGCCCAGGCCTGAAGGGGCAGGGAAAGAGGTGATGTCACTGTGGAGGCATGGCAGGAGGGCAGCAGGTGAGGGGAGGGTGGAGAATTTAGTTCCTTACCCGCCCTTTCTTCTCTGGCTCCCAAGCTCCTGCAGGTGCCTTCCACTGCCCCACCCATTCTGAAGCCGGAGGCCAGGGAGCTGGCTACTGAGCATGTGAGGGTCAGTCCCTGGGACACTGAGCTGGCAGAGGGGGCAAAAAGTGGAGAGCAGGAGGTGGCAGTGCAGGAAGGAGCAGAGATAACCAGGCCAGAGGGAAAGCTGAGAAATGAACGGTTAAAAGCAGCTAACTTACTCCTTGAAAAGGCACCCCAAGCAAAACACCACGTGCTGGACGGTTCTGCCTCGCACCCTACAGGGACCCATTGTGTGCACACTCCACTGTGTTTCTTGTACTGCCCAGGGCTTTCTGTCTCTTTTTATTTAATTAATTAATTTATTTTTGAGGAAGATTAACCCTGAGCTAACATCCACTGCCAATCCTCCCCTTTTTTTTTTGCTGAAGAAGACTAGCCCTGAGCTAACATCCATGCCCATCTTCCTCTACTTTATATGTGGGATGCCTGCCACAGCATGGCCTGATAAACGGTGTGTAGGTCTGTGCCCAGTATTTGCACCAATGAACCCCAGGCCACCGAAGTGGAGCGTGCGAACTTAGCTGCTGCACCACTGGGCCAGCCCCTTTCTGTCCCTTTTAACATCCCTCTTCGTAGCATGGTTCCTTAGCAGCGAGGACACTGCCTCTCCCTGGCTGTGTGCTTTTGTTTAAGCCACCCTTTCTGAGCCGCTATCCACCAAGACCCTCGTCACCATCCCTCCAAAGTTAGGAACAGCACCAAGGCCCTCAGCGCCATGATGAGTAGTTAGTTGTTTTTAAAATTGCATATAAGCAAACCCCATCCAGTGCAAAGCGAATATTTCCTCTTCTCACCCCATCCTCTTGGAACAGCAGTCAGCAAGGACGTTTTGAGATCAGAAACAAAACAGATTTTTTTCTTCTTTCTTGTTGTTCCAGACCATCTGCATGAAAAAGGCTGCTCCTGCCCAAGGGGTGGTGGGGAGGAAAGGAGCGTGTGTGCGCACCATGGCATCTGTCTACCGGCTTTATTTTTACCAAGGCAAGGGATCGATTTGCTCAAGGCCTGTGGCTAGTTAGGGGTAGACCAGGCCTTGAACTTGGGCCTCCTACTTCCCACCCCGCGTTGCTGTCCTTCTGCAGGGCCCTGCTCACTTCTTTTCCAGTGACACCGTGTTCTCCTTTCTCCTCTCCCGTCTCTCCAGATGTAGCTCACGCCAGTACGGCCGGCCCTGTGAAGTCACCGGCTCATGGCTGCCTGGTGTCTTGTGTGGCTGCCAGGAGCTGTTTCTGTTCACTCACTGGGCCTATTCACTTGTCCTGGCCGCTGCCCCAGAGAATCAAAGGCATTGTTGGCTCTCGGAGGCCGACACCAGTCCTAAACAGAGCCGCTAAGAAGCAGAAGGAGGAGGAAAAGCCTTCTCAGAAGAAACGAAACAGGGGAAACCTGTCTGTCCTTCTGGGTTACTGTTGCCACAGTCCGGTCCTGTCTGGGCCCATCAGGAAGTGGCCTGAATTGGAGGCAGATCCGTTTCATTTTCTGAAGCCGAGGCCCAGCTCTTTCCTGGTGTGTCTGCGGAGCTTTCCCACCCTCCAGCCCAGGGCTCTCCTCTTCCCAGACTCCCCCTGCTTTGGGGTTACAGGCATTCGACTGTCAGGGCTTATACCGCATGGTATTGTTGGTTTGGGTTTTTCGTTTTGTTTTGTCCCATTGTCCCCAAACAGGCTGAAAAGCGGGATTCGTCTGATCCTTCTTAACATGCTCCCTCCTCCACAGCTGCACATGCTTGGCCCATAGCAGCTGGTTGATCAGACACATGGTTTTCTTGAAGGATCAGAGTTTGGCAATTTGAAAAATAAATTGGTCTATGTAAAAGTAATGGGGGATCGTGTCACCATTGCCCCATCTTCCTCCTGACTTATGATTTGTGACACCATTATTCACAAAAAGAAAAAAGTTTAGGAATATCATTCTTACCTGCCCCACTTTCTGTTCGTAGGACAGTTTCCCCCCACTGGTAAAATGGCATAAATGTGAGAAAGAGTCTCCTCTCTGTTGATCATCGTCTCCTCTCTTTCTGGCGGGCACAGACGAGACAGCCCCTTTGCAGGCAGCCCATCCTTGCCTACCCAAGGCCACCCCGTGTCAGCAGCGCCCCCTCTCTGCCCTGCACCCCTTTCCCTCCCACGGCACCTCTTACTTCCCTGCAGGCACTCAGTGCTTTCCAAGCTCTCCTTCCTGTCGGCCTGGGGAACCCCACTTTCTGGAAGAGTAATTCTCACACCCAGAATGTGTGTTGAGTCTGTGTGTTCTTTCTCTTGGCAACATCCCAGTGTAATCATGGCAGACAGAGTTTGGGATTTGGAGTCAGGACGCTGGATTCAGGTGCGACCTCTGCTGTTTACTCTCTAAAGGATCATTGATAAGGAACTTCTCTAATCACCAATTTCCTCGTCTGTATAGTGGGGTGATAAACGTACCCCCCCCACACACACACAGGGGTGGCCTTGAGGAGCACAAGGAGCAGGAGCATACAAGAGCTCTTTGTAAACAGTGAGGCATTATGCAAACAGGATGTTGTTGTCGCAAGACTCCGCCCCTCTGAAAGGTATTGCAGGGGTCAGTGGAAAGAGGGGCATGGTTTGGGTTCTTGGATGGTTCTTTCTGTGTGTCCCTAAGCTACATACATATTCCTAATCCGCATGCCACTTTACCTGTCCCCTCCCCCCACAACTTTCCCGTCTCCCCCTACAGTCCAGAGGGTCACTCTGTTTTCCCCACAAGAATCACCCGCTCTGGGAAGGGAGCAGGGAGGAGGCAGGAAAGCCAGGTGGAAAGATGGAAGCATCTTTTGAACTTGGAAGGTTTCCGTGAGAGGAGCTTTCTCAAGGGGTGTGGAGAATCACTCCATCCCACCAGAAATGAACTGTTCCCACTGCAGGTGAAAAGCCCGCTTTCCCTTCTCCTCATCCGAGCACGTCCGCGAGGTTCTGTCTAGTGCTGCCCGTCTTCTGCGTCCAGCTTCTCTCCTGCCCTCAGTGGGGATTGGGTCAGGACTACTGCAGTGTTCCCGCGGGGACAGCCTGCAGAGGACAAGCCACAGGAGGAGCAGAAGCTGCCATCTGTGCCTTGAAGGGCCCTCTTGGGTGGCAGGCTGCTGAGTCACATTCTCTTTATTATTTACACTTGAGAAACAAACGTTCTGTACCCAAAGAACTAGCAAGCGGTTCCACCAGCTACGAATGTTCCTTACGCAATGCTGGCTGGCTTTGTCCCTGAAAAATGTTGTCCGTGGAGCAGCCTCTGGCAGAGAGAGACCGTGACATAGAAATGGGGGAGGGAGCGTGCACTCTGCGGACAACAGCGAGCCCAGGAGCGCCAGGCCTGCCCTCCAGGGCTTCTTGTCTAGTTGTGTAGTCCAGGAGACAGACCTCCACAGAGCTGGTGGGGGCGGCCCGGAGCGGGGCAGGAGGCGGGAGACGCTTAAATACAGTGGTAGCCAGGCTCTTGGCTCAAAAGCGGAACAGTGGCTGAAACAGCAATTTTCTGCATAGATAATACATTCACGTGATATAAAAATGGAAAAATAGAAGGTATACAGTCAAAGTCTTCCCTGCCATTGTTCCCCTCACCAAACACAGCCACTGTTTCCAGATCCTTCCAGAGATGCTCTAGGTGTATGCGCACAGGCAGAATATATGTGCGTATATTTATTTTTTTTTCTTTTCCCTGTTTGAAACTATACGTCATATTGTTCTATACAGATGGCTGTGCAGTTTGCCTTATCACCTACCCCTCTATCTCAGAGATGACTGGAACAATGAACTGTCATGTTCCTGTAGGAGTCATGGCTGTCTGTGCGGACATGCCGTAATTTGTGTGACCTCTTCCTGTGATGACCATCTGTGTCTCCAGTCTCTGTTTTTACAAGCACCGTGGTAACAAATGACCCCACACCCCTCCATTTAGCAATTATAGAAATATGTCTGTGGCAGGAATTCCCAGAAGCGGGATTGTTGGGTCAAGGAATGAGTGCGTTTGTAGTTTTGAGAGATAATGCTCAAATGCCTCACAGAGGGGCGCATTTGCTCTGGGCCTCTGAAAATGCCTGCATGGGCGTGGTCTGAGCCAGGAGGCCTGAGCTAGGTCTGAGAGTCAAGTCACAGGCAAGGTGGAGGGGCTGGTTGGGTTGTACCTGGCGTTAGGATAGATGTGGCTGCTTTTCACTGCCGACTGAGGGGTGCTGAGATCTCTGGGCCGCCCCCCCCCCCCCCCCCCCCCCGGGGCTCTGCCTGACGGGCTCTCAGGTGGCTAGGATGTGGTTGGTGGCACAGGCTTTTGAGCCTGAACTGCCCCCACCCCATCCTGCTCTGTCCTGCCCCTCCGTCGGGTCTCCAGCACTCGCCCTGAAAGCAGGGCAGGCCCCAGGGAGGCACACAGGACTGGCCTCCGTGTCCCATGGCCGGGGTGGGAGTTGGGGGCACAGACCACAAAACGTCCTGCTGACTGTGACTCTGGGAACTAGCCTGTTCTGGGCCGCACCATGAGGAGCCAGGCTGGTGTGCCTGCTGAGGACTCTGTCACTGGAAGAACGGCCAAAGGACATGCCACTGCCCCTGGGGGCCTGAGGCCCGAGAGGTGCCTGGGATCCACAAACAAAACAGCACAGGAGCTTCCTTCTCCCGTCCCAGTGAAGCCCGCTGAGAGGCCTGGGCGGCCCCTCTGGGCCTTGGCTGGCCTGCTCATTCCTCGCCGCCCTGTGGGCCTCACTGTGGAGCACTGGTGCCGCGATGCTGGAGCCCAGCCTGGAGGAGGCCCGGGCCTGTGTCACGTCACCCTGCCTGCCGGAACGCCCCCGTCTCCCGTGAAGAGCTCCTAAACCATGGGACCTCCTCCTGCCCTGGGTCCTCACTCTCGTTCCTCCTCTCACTCCCAGCCCCACTGCAAAGCGGGCCCTGCTTCTCAAGACCTTTGGGGGAGAACTTTTGTTTTCAAGAGTTTGGGACTTTGCCGTTGGATGCCTTTCACATCTTAAGTTTTGAGACCTACAAAAACCCCAGTGATGGAACGTTCCATCTCCTTCTGCTTTTAGCTCTAGCTGCCTCCCAGAGGGCAGTCTGGGGCCTGGCTGCCAGGATTCCCACTTGGTGTGGCTTCAGGGGATAAGGGGTTCCCTGGAAAATGGTGCTCCTCCTTTCATGGTTACTTGCAGAGCTCTCGCCCAGGAGATGTGTACCCCTACACGTACTCTCTGGCCGCGGGGAGGGAGAGAATTCAGACTAAGTTTGAGCCTCAGCCCTTCCCTGCTCCCTTCCCTCTCCTGCCTGGTGGGTGGCGGGCGTTTACCAACCACCTTCCCCTCGCTTAGGACAGTGCTGGTGCTGTAGGGACCAGAAGAGTGTGGGCAGGGTCCCTGCCCCCAAAAAGGTTGGTGGGTTTTGTTGAGGACAGAAGACTTACATCCTGTGTGTTTGGTTTTAGTGTTAAACAGCTTGTCGTTAACTGGCAACACACAGTGCAGACGGAATGTGCCTTATGAGTCCAGGGGAGGGGGCTCACAGGGCCGTGGATCAGGAGAAGGGAGACTGGATGAGCTGACCCCTGAGGAATGGGAGGCCACTCTGGGGAGAGAATGGAAGCAGAAGAGAGAACACACACGTGTGCAGGGCTGTGTGGAGAGGAGCCTGGAAGGTGGCACAGGAGCCTGGAGAAGGAGATCCGGGCTTACGGCTCTGTAGGCTGACCCATCTAGTCCGGGTCAGCGGTAGCGGAAGGCGCCCCAGGGCTGTGGCTGCTGACATCTTTGCTTTGACGTGCATAATTTGAAATTTTTAAGTAACAAATTTAAAAACAAAAATTTCATTTAGTTACTAATTTTTATTTAGTATTTAGTTTAATTTTATTTTTATAATTTATAAGTGTAAGAGACTAGACCCAAATCCTGATTCTGCTTCCCTTGGAAAATGAATCGATATCAGGCAACATTATAGTATTTTCCTAGAGCTGCTGTAACAAAGTACCACAAACTGAGCGAGGTTTGTTCTCTCACCGTTACAAAGGCTGCGAGTCTGAAACCAAGGTGTCAGCAGGGCCGCACTCCCTCTGAGACTCTGGGTAGGGTCCTTCCTGGCCTCTTCTGGCCTCTGATGGTTGCTGGCAACGCTGGGCGTTCCTTGGCTCTTCTGCATCCCTCTAGTCCCTGCCTCCCTCATCACATGCCTTCTCCTCTGGGTGTCTGTCTGTTTCTGCGTCTCCTCTTACAAGGACACTAGTCACGTTGGGTTAAGAGCCCAGCCTACTCCAGTATGACCTCATCTCGATGACATCCACAAAGACCCTGTTACCAAAAAGGTCACATTCACAGGAGCTGAGGGTTAGGGCTTCAGCATGCCTCTTTGGGGGCCACAGTCTGACGCATAACGATGATCCTATGGCATCATCAGCTAGACGTGAGTGATGACCGCCTGCCTGAGGCCGGCCCCTGAATTGCACAGACCCTGTTGACGTGGACAGCCTCTTACTCCTGGCAGATTCATGTGCCCGCTGTCCCTGCACTTCTTTGGCCACCACTCCCTATCCACTTCCTCTTGGTTCCTGTCCATCTAAATCCTCACTTCGAAAGGCCCCTCCCCAGTCCCGCTCCTTCCCTGTGGTTTCCTCTGGCATTCATCTTCATGGTGATTTCTCACTATTGTGAACTCACAGTGGCAGTATGTATGTTGCACGTTTTGACAGTAATAGCATTTTGACAGTAATGTCTCCTCTGGTTCTTAGTGTACGTTGTCATGTGACTTCTGCCACATCAGCCTTGTCTCTGTTGAATACGTTATGAACTTTCTCATGTCTTATCTCAAGTAATATGGTTCCACTCATGTGCTCTTGGTACCGTGCTTTGCAGGGGAGGAGGGCAGATCAATCGGTATTCGACTCAGTGGAGGAAAACGGCCTCTGGGGGGTGTGTGTGTGTGAAGTCTTTCACCCAGACACCTTCTGAACTGTGTGAGCATCTCCCCCCTCACAGCAAGGGGACGCTGCCCACCACTGAAGTTGGATGACGAGGGGATTTCTGGACACAGCTGATTCTAAGGGATTAGAAATAGGCTTATAAAAGTTTGTCCCCAGCATCCAGAGTTTAACAATTTAGATTCTTGCCATTTGAGATTTTTTCACAGTTGGCAATGGAAGAGCCGTTCTCTGCCTTCCTCCGTCTCAGCCCGACTCTTAAGAGTGCTCTGTGGTTCCCTCCGCAGCCTCAGGCCTCTCCTCCTCTCCGTCGACACCCACCCAAGTGGCCAAGCAGCACACTTTTCCTCTTGAATCCTATCAGCATGAACCTGAGCGACTGGAAAATCGCATCTATGCCTCCTCTTCCCCTCCTGACACAGGCCAGAGGTTCTGTCCGTCCTCCTTCCAGAGCTCAGCCAGGCCTCCGTCAGCATCGCCGACACACTACGCTCCCTCCAGAACCGTAAGTCTGGGCCTGCTCCCGGGCCGGGCCGCTGGGCGCCGGGGGGAGGGCTGAGTCTGATCTTTCACAGCTGAAGCCAAGGCTGTGTACTCCTGACATTTCTGGTATATTTTATCATAAATCATAGGCTGGGGGAAAAATGCTGAGGGCACAGGGGGCAAATGGAAACCAAATAAAGAGTACTAACATCTGGAACACGACCAGAAAACATTTTTTGTTCCTTTGGTTTCTTTTTAAAAATAAGTCATTAAAAGCTTTACTTGCATTTCCCTTGATTAGGATACTAAAGTAAAAAGTCATAGGCAAAGCAAAAAAGTCTTAAAAACTCGAAATTTTATTCTAGAGTTTTAAGACTTAAAGTTTGACACCATTTGACTTGGGAAGCATTCCTGGAAAGGCGAGCCTTTCAAAGTGGAGTGGTTTGGTGAAACAGATGTCTTTGCATCCTTCCAAGGATTAGGATTAGTGGATATTAGTGGAGGAAGCTGGCTTAGCTACCACGCTTAAGCGCTCTACATTTCAACACAGTGGGAGACCAAGTGTGGAGACTCTATGCGTCATTGCCTGCCTGGTTCACGTTAGCTACCGCAGACACTCAGCGCTACTCCTGTGCCCAGCAAGGATCTAAGAACATGTCACTCAAGTCTGTCTATATGGATGTAACTGTTTTATTCAGTTGTTGTATTAGTTTCCTGGGGCTGCTGTGACAAAGTGGCACAAACTGAGTGGCTTAAAACAACAAGAAGCTATTGTCTCACCGTTCTGGAGGCTGGAAGTCTGAAATCAAGGTTTTGGCAGGGTCGTGCTCCCTCTGAAGTCTCTAAGGAGGAGCATCCTTCCTGTCTCCTCCAGCTCCTGGGAGCCCCAGGCTTTTCTTCATTTGTAGCATCATCATTCCAGTCTCTGCCTACTTCTTCTCATGGCTGTCTTCCCTCTGTATCTGTTTGTGTCCAGATTTTCCTCTTCTTATAAGGACACGAGTCATACTGGGTTAGGGCCCAACCTAATTCAATATGACTTCATCTTAGCTTGATTACATCTGTGAAGACCTTATTTCCAAATAAGGTCACATCCACGGGGATCAGAGGTTAGGACTTCAACATGGCTTTTTGGGGAACACAGTCCAACATAACAGTTGTTGTCTTTGAGGAGAAAGATGTGTTTGTCATGCAGAGAACATACTATTACTCTTCTTGTTCATTCAATGATTATTTTATTAGATGTATGCTTAGCAGAGTTTTCCTTCAAGTGCTGAGGGATAAAATGCAAGGTACTATTTCTGCCTTCTAGGGCTTACAGTCTTTCTGGGAACAGAGTTACACTCAGACGAAACCGTTAAGTAAAAGCAGAGAGTACGTTGGGTGGTGGTAAGGAGGGGAACAAATAATCAACCCTATAGGAGGTGAGAAAGGGGAAGTGCTGTTATCTGATGAGGGCAGTGAAGGCTTCGATGCAGTGGCACCGACTGAGCTGAGCCTTGAGTAATTGGTAGGGTTTAAATAAGGAGAGAGGTGAAGAGAGAGCTTTCTAGAAAAGAAAATGAGCCGTGACGTGGGGTGGGAATGAGTGTGAGATGTAACATGAGAAGGGAGAGGTAGATGGCATAGGAGCAGTGGTGTGGGGCCTGCCCCTGAGGCTGCTGGGATCTGGAGCAGACTGTGAGATGGACTGCAGGCAGGAAGGCCGCTAAGAAGCGGGTGAGGGGTCCAGACATGGAATGGTGCAGGGCTTGGCCCCACAGAGCTGTGGGCCTAGGAAAAAGGTCATCTGTATTCTTGGGTGTGAAAGAGTAAAGATCTAGAGAGGTTTCTGTTCTCCTTGGCTTTTAACAAAGAGAGTCAGTTATAGAGATAATGGAATTTTAAAAAATCCAAAAATAGTATGATGAGGCGACCCAAAGATTATCAAAAGCAGGAGGCCACTACTCCCCTAGGGTCAGAGGGACAGTGAGAGAAGGTGTGATGATACCAGCGCCCATCAGATGGGAGATGGAACCACACATGTCTGCCTGGCAGGAGCTGGAGCTGTGGAGGAGAAGCAGCCACTGGCCAGAGATGCCATTTGAGGCAGAGGGATAGAAATCCTGGCATCTCCTCCTCCTGCCCTCCAGCCTGGTGGCAAACCTTGCCAGAGGCCAGTGGGCTGGGAGATCTGGGACAGACAGACCCTGTGTGCGCATGGAGCAGAGGGAGGACCAGAGAAGAGAGCAAAGAGGAAAATGACCAGCAGACGCTTAAATGGATATGGGAGATGTCAAAGTCTCAAAGTATTGGCTTCTTCTCATTGACTAGTGATAGTTAACAGAGGTACCCCATTTCAGAAGAGACACTGATTTGAAGAGAAAACGGTTATTTCGACTTCAGATCATTTGAAGTGATGGTGACAAACACAGACACGAAGTTTTTCCACAGTTGCAGAAGTTTTGTGCTCAAGACAAGCCCACAGGCTTTCCCAGTTTAAATAAAGGAGAATCTGGAGAGCGCACACAGGCTGTGTTTCCCCATGCTTGGGGCTGGAAAGTGATGTTCTTAACCATTTATACTTCATGCATGTGTGAAGCTCTTGGTCAGGGCCAACAAGTGTGGGTCCTTCCAGGCTTTCTAAGGTGGTTATGGGGCCAGATAGAAAGTGTTCTCACTATATCCCACACTCAGCCATGGGCATGTATCATAGGCCCTGGTCAAGGCCTGTGATTCCACATACATGATGGACACTGCGTGTGACAGGAGAGTGAGATTTCAACATGGATCCAAATGTCATGGGCGGATAAACAAGATGTGATCATTCCATGCAATGGAATATTATTCAGCCTTAAAAAGGAAGGAAATTCTGACATATGCTACAATTCTGACATATGCTACATATGCTACATTGTAGCATATGTCAGAATAAATGAATAAATGTCACATAAATGAACCCTGAGGACATTTATGCCAAATGAAATAAGCTGTTAATAAAAAAGACAAATACTTTATGTTTCCACTTATTTGAGGTCCCTAGAGTAGTCAGATTCATAGAGACAGAAAGTAGAATGCTGGGTTCCAGGGGGTGGGTGGGGAGGAATGGAGAATCATTGTTTAATGAGCACAGAGTTTCAGTTCGGGAAAATGATAAAAGTTCTGGAGATAATGGTGGTGATGGTTGCGCAATGATATGAATGTACTTAATACCACTGAATTGTACTCTTTTTTTTTTTTGTTTAAAGATTGGCACCTGAGGTAACAACTGTTGCCAATCTTCTTCTTTTTTTTTTTTTTTTTTTTTTTGGCTTTTTCTCCCCAAAGCCCCCTGGTACATAGTTGTATATTTTAGTTGTGGGTCCTTCTAGTTGTGGCATGTAGGATGCTGCCTCAGCGTGGCCTGATGAGTAGTGCCATGTCTGCACCCAGGATCTGAACCGGCGAAACCCTGAGCCACCAAAGCGGAGCACACAAACTTAACCTCTTGGCCACCAGGCCAGCCCCAAGAATTGTACTCTTAAAAATGGTTACAATGTTAAATTTTATGTTGTGTATATTGCAATTTAAAAAAGAAATGATCCAGTCAAGACTACAATATTTATATAGTTTGAGCTTCAGAAAACCAGGGTGATCACCCAAGGCTCCCACTTCTGTTTTGATATAATGTTTCAAAATTAAAAGATAACATCCCCATTGGCTACCTGACATTAAACAGGGCCTTCATCCTACTTGTGAGTTTTACCCCCCAAACCCCCCAGGGGCTGCCTCCCACCAGATGCTGCTCATAGCTCTACAGCCATCCTTTGACCCAGGTCTCTTCTGCTTTCAGCAGCCCTTCGCTGCGGGGCCGGTGGTAATTTCAATTCATATAAAGTATGTTTCTTTATAATTGGATGTGTTGAATATCTTTAATTTATGTGCTAAGTTCCTTAAGAGCTTGGCTGATTTCATTAATTTGGCTACCAGCATAATCTTCATGGAGGAATGTGAGCTGCTTGAGGACTTCTGTCACCCTGAAAATATTTAGATATAATTTATCCCTGCCTTTTAGAGTAAAAAGACCCTTTCTGTAAACATTGACCATGAAGACCACCTTTATAAAATTTGTTCCCATGAATGTTATTCTAAAATTGGAAAGGGGGTGAGGGTAATTAATGAGTCTTTAGTAGACAGCATTCATTTTATCATTTATTTACTCAGCCAATGCTTATTAAGTAACCACTATGTGCCAGAAACTCTGCTCAGCAGGGGTGACAGGATGACAAATATGTGAGTCACTCTCATGAGGCAGGGACAATGTTTGTTCTACTCACTGCTCGATTAGCAGCACATTATGCATGGGAGGGTTTCAATAAATAGCTAATAACTAATTGAGCAAAGGAAGGAGCTGTTGTCTGTTTTGGTGGTATAGACAGGTAGATAATTGCCATAGAGTTTGATAGAACCTGTGTAGTTATTATGAGTGAAACACCCAGTCCAGTCTTAGTGAATGGAAGAGCAAATCCCAGAGGAAGGAAGTGGAAATTTTCTTCAGCAGCAGAAAGCAATAGTCAGCTTTGCATTTTAGGATGATCCCTCTGGCTGGGTGTGGAATTAGGTTGGATTTGGGTGGAATAGGAACTCAGATGAGATGTGGTGTGAAATGATCTGGGCCTGGTTGCAGCCAAAGGTGGAAAGAAGTGGATTAGTGTTAAAAAGTAAAGAGCTATTTAAGAGGTCGAATTGAAAGGAATTTGGAATGTAGTGATTGATTAGCTGAAGGGGAAAGAGGGAAGAATCAAGGGTGATTCCAAAGGTTTTGCCTTGGGAGACTGGATGGATGGTAGTTGCATTTGCTGGGGTAGGGAACAGACAAGGAAGAGGAGCAGGCTTGTAGGTGAGCATGCGTGTGTGTGAGTGCGTGTGGGGTGTGTACATGTGTGTGTTCAGGTGTGGTGGTATAATAAGATGCCCATGGACATTCAAGTCGAGGGGTCCAAAGGGCAATTGAGTATGTGAGTCTGAAGCTAGAAATTCAGATTTGAAAGTCATCAGACTATA